CATTTAGGAAAGTATGTGTATTTGCAGAAAGTCTTTGTACCTGGGAGTGGGCTTTCTGTAGCCTCCCCTCCTTGGAGCTTCTGCATTGAAGAGGAGATTTAGGAAATAAGGGAGGTCTCGTAATTTCATGAGCCACACCTCACAATCCATTGTCACTGTGCTGTGCTCGTGTTCATCTGTCAGATTATGCTTTTCTATGGGAACTCTCCCTTTGCCCCCAAACCGTGGGGTGTTCATAGTATTTTTTCAGCCACAATATTTGTAACCATTTGAAAAATAAATAATGAGAGGATATTAGCGATTTATTATTTCTTCTAGAAAATGCAACTTAACTTTTCTAGTTATTACTTATTTTCATAGACATTTTACAACTACTTGTACAATGGGCTGGATGGAATGTCCAGGGAAATGGAGTATCTTTGCTATAATTTTGGCTCCTAATAGCATTGCATGAAGTGTGTTTTAGGTGTCTGCTTGTTATCCTGTTTCCTTTGGGTGGTTCTAGGTAGTAGTGAATTGATGTCCAGTGGAGTTAAGGTTGCACAAAATGAAATTCACAATTTCTGTGGGAGCTGTGTGCAGAGGGCGTAGATACTCTTTCTGATGTAGTATAGAGATTAGAAGACTTCAACACACTTATCCAAAGTCACTCAGCAACTGGGTGCGGTGGCTCATTCCTATAATCCCAGCACTCTGGAGGGCCAAGGTGGGTGGATTGCTTGAGCTTAGAAGTTTGAGACCAGCCTGAAGAAGAGTTTCTACTAAAAATAGAAAAATTAACTGGCTGTTGTGGTGAGTGCCTGTAGTCCCAGCTATTTGGGAGGCTGAGGCAGGAGGATTGCTAGGGCCCAAGTGTTTGATCCATAACCTGGATCAGGTTATGGCTGTGAGCTAAGACACCATGGCACTCTACCCAGGGCTACAGAGTTAGACTCTGTCTCCCAAAAAAAAGAATCACTCAGCAAATGTCTGTCGTGGGAGAATCTACTTTTCCACTGCTCAGTCCAGGGTTCTTTTTCCTTCATAGACTTTTTTTAGACTGTGGTATTATGGAGTTCAGAATAGTTTGTAATATTTAGAAAAAGGGCACTGGATTATTAGTTAACATTCATGTTGTTAGAGATTTCTGTAACTTCTAATTTGGAGTTGACTCATGTACACGATTTTTAATCTTTGTTGGGGAATTATGTGACATTTTAAATGCTTTTCTATGTGGAATTTCAGAAAATGCTCTCTCTTGACAGGCATGAGGCATGCCATTTATGACAAGCTGGATGATGATGGTTTGATAGCTCCAGGGGTTCGTGTATCAGGGGATGATGTTATTATAGGCAAGACAGTCACCTTGCCTGAAAATGAAGATGAACTGGAGAGCACCAACAGACGCTATACCAAGAGAGACTGTAGCACCTTCCTCCGAACTAGCGAGACGGGTATTGTGGATCAGGTTATGGTAACGCTCAACCAGGAAGGATATAAATTTTGTAAAATAAGGGTGAGTGCAGCTTTGTCTCTATGGCTAGTTTTAGGAAGTAAACCACATCGGTTTAACTAATCTATTTGTGTATGAATTCAGGTACGCTCTGTTAGAATCCCACAGATTGGAGATAAATTTGCTAGTCGACACGGTCAGAAGGGTACTTGTGGTATTCAGTACAGACAAGAGGTAGGTATCTCATCTCTGTCTCCCCAGCCCCAAATTAGCTTTAACTTAGAGCCCAAAGATGGTAAAGGATTGACTTTTTAATTGGAGTGTTGAGTAAATGTAGAAACATGCCCTGTTGAACATAATTTAGGACATAAAAAATGCAGTTGGTGGGGGGAGTATCCGTTCTTTTGTTACAGCTAAAAGTAAAATATTTAAGTATTGTTAAATCTCTTCAATATTTTCTTTACAGGATATGCCTTTCACCTGTGAAGGTATCACCCCTGATATCATCATAAATCCTCACGCCATCCCCTCTCGTATGACGATTGGTCACTTGATTGAATGTCTTCAAGGGAAGGTAAGAGATTTTCTTTAAAAATATACATTTCCTCCCTGGCTATGAAGTTTAAACAAGAAGGAAAGAAAAAGAAAAAAGTAAATAGAAATACAGGTTCCAAATTGATGTTTCCTCCAGCCTGATTGGTGATTGCTCTCATATTTGAGCCAGAATGCCTTGTTATAAGCTAGTGTGGTGCTTATTTTCCTGCTTTTGTAAGATATATTACATCCAGTCTCTAGATAGATATATGGTTGTCTCTTTTACTGTTTTCCTTCTGTACGTGGCGTTGACCTTGGTGGTGAGCTCAGTGTGAGTTTAGTAATTTTACGGCTACGTTGTCAGCTATGCACATTGTCAGCTATGCACGCGTCTTTCAGTGGATGTTTTCTGTTTTTAAATTGTGACAAGGTAGAGGCTGTAGCTAGGGTTTAGGGCATAAAATGTTACTTTCTTTGAACCATCAGAAACATTTGGAGTCTTACTTTTTTGTACCTGATCCCATGGATAAATTTCTATTTCTTTGCTCGTAAGTTTTTCTTTTTTCTGCAGATTAATTGGTTATATTTTGTGTAAGGTGATAAAGTGAACCGTAACATACACCTTCCCATAACATAGATTTAAAGTTCAAAACCTTCCGTTTAGAGAATGGATTTTTTCTCAGATGTATTTTTATTGATAAATGACTTTTAAGGGGAGACAGAATGAAGCAGCATTTTTAAAGATTTTTTTTTTTAAGGTATCTGCTAATAAGGGTGAAATTGGTGATGCCACCCCATTCAATGATGCTGTCAATGTACAGAAGATTTCTAACCTTTTATCTGATTATGGTTACCATCTCAGAGGAAATGAGGTATATTTGCTTTTACAGTAGAAATTTGTGACATGTATTATTTCTTGTATGTGTGTAGTTTTATTCCTAAAAATAGAAAACCTTTTGTTGACGGGTAATAGCTACATCTGGTCTGTGTACATACCTTAAATGTATATAGTTTGATGAATTTTCCCAAATTGAGGTCACTGGTGTGACTGGCACCAAGATCTGGGAATGAAACTTACCAAAACCCTTTTATGTCTAGAAGCTCCTCCCATCCGCTGCCTTCCTGCTCCCACCCCAAGCTAACTACTCTCTTGGCTGATAACCTTATAGCTTAGTTTTGTCTGTTTTGTTTTATATTTTAGGCCTATGCTTCATAGTCTGTGTCTTTTTAGGTCCTGTACAATGGCTTCACTGGGCGAAAAATCACTTCCCAGATTTTTATTGGCCCCACTTATTACCAGCGTTTGAAGCATATGGTAGATGACAAGATTCATTCTCGTGCTAGAGGACCTATTCAGATCCTGAACAGACAGCCCATGGAGGGTAGATCTCGGTAAGAGAGCAGGACCGTTGTCATTGTTCTTACTCAGCCTTTGGTGTGGAAATTGTCGTAGAGGGAGGATGATGTCCGTGTGCCTGTCCCTCATCCATGAGAAGCTGCTTTAGTTGACTTCATTATTCACTTTTGAGTATAAAGTTCTGGAAAGTTAAGTAAGAGCACGATGAGCCTCTACTCTGTACTGGATGGTATGTTAGGGGAATCACCTGCTGTACTTGAGAATCTAATGTACCTGCGCCATTTGGGGACCTTCTAGTGCACTAGTGTAGTTGGTGGATTCTTCCCTCCCCACCAGAAGAGAGAGTGAGGGTATAAAAAGTAGAGCCTAGTTCTCCTGTACTAAAATCGTTCTAAGCCTTCGTCATTAGTCCAGGTGGTGTTTACAATAAAAAATAAGTGCAAAGCAATCTGTTGTTTTTCCGTTACCAGTGATGGTGGCTTGCGTTTTGGAGAAATGGAACGAGACTGTCAGATTGCCCACGGAGCAGCCCAGTTTCTGAGGGAAAGGTTGTTTGAGGCGTCAGATCCCTATCAGGTTCATGTTTGCAATCTGTGTGGAATAATGGCGATTGCCAACACCAGGACCCACACATACGAGTGCAGGGGCTGCCGCAATAAAACCCAGGTGTGTATGGACTTTATTCCCAGTCGGGGGGGCTTGTTGAGCATGTAACAGTGTCAGTCTAGTTTTCCAGGCAGAGTTTGTGTGGTAGGACAGGTGAGCACTGTCACAGTTTTGATAGCATGCCTCTGTACGGCTTGTAGTTTTAACGGAGGAAAAAGGTAGTTTGAGTGTTCTAAAAACTAGTTTTAAGTTTAGTGTGGTAATTTCTCTAAGCTGTTCAGTTTTTGGAAATAATAAAGACTTATACAAGGAATCGTAAACAAGTTTTTATTAAATGTTTTAACTGAGGGTGACTGTGTCTGGCAGAAAGGGTAAAGCCCCAAAGCTTGTTAGGGACAGAGCCGCCGTGAGCCAAGGGAACAGGAAGAGTGTCCCGGTGCGTGTGTTTGTCATCCGCAGTAGGTATCTTTTCTCTTTTTCTGGGGTTCCTTTGAAACAGTTCTGAATCACTGTCTGTTTTTTCCTTTTCAGATTTCTTTGGTGCGAATGCCTTACGCGTGCAAACTGCTGTTTCAGGAGCTCATGTCTATGAGCATTGCCCCGCGCATGATGAGTGTTTAGCTGTTTCAGAAGTGAGACTCTTGTAAATAACTTTGTGTCTTGTTTCTGTGATGGCTTTTTCAAGAGTGACAAATATGTACGACATTGCAATAAAAAGCATTTTATTTGTTTTGTTTAATGACACGCATGCTTTTCTTCATAAATTGACAATAAATTTTTGTAGATAGTCTTCATGTGGTTTTTTGTTTTTGTTTTTGTTTTTTTGAGACAGAGTCTCACTCAGTTGCCCTTGATAGAGTGTCGTGGCACAATAACCTCAAACTCCTGGGCTCTTACCTCAGCCTCCCAAGTAGCTGGGACTGCAGGCGCCCGCCATGACGCCTGGCTATTTTTAGAGTTGTGGTCTTGCCCTTGCTCAGGCTGGTTTTGAACTTCTGAGCTCCAGCAATCCACTCGCTTTGGCCTCCCAGAGTGCTAGGACTACAGGCAGGAGCCACAGCACCCGGCCTGAGTCTTCATGTGATTTTTTATTTTGTGTTTCTCTGTGTAAAACCAGTGAGTAATAAAGTGTTAGTAGTTGGAGTTAAAGAAACTTATTAGGCAAGAACAGGGGCTGTAGTGATCCAGGACTACTGGCAGCTGTGCAGCCTGATACGTTCTGCACGTTTATAGCTCAGCATCTTCACCTGTTTAAAAACAAAGAAAAAGATAAAAATTAGAAACATACAGGGACATGGTTGACTTTCTAATTGTCAAGTAGATGAAGGAAATGAAGATGCCAAAATGATAAAGGATGTACGAGTAACTGTACAGATGATAAGCTAGAGTGCTCTGTGCAATTTGAACTGTACGTGTGTGATTTTACCGTGGAAGGCAGTTTTGTTGTATTGGTTGGTGCATAAAAAGTAAACCGTATTATAGAACCGGAAGAGCATACTTCACAAGTGACCAAGCTGAGATCCAGAGATGCTTAAGAAACTTTCCTTTGTGGCCCAGCTCTCGTTCAGAATTTATTTTGTGACAGAGTCTCACTCTGTCACCCTGGGTAGAGGGCTGTGGTATCTTCATAGCTCACAGCAACCTCAAACTCTTAGGCTTAAGCGATTCTCCTGCCCCAGCCTCCTGAGGGACTGGAACTACACACGCCCATCATGATGACACCCAGCTAGTTTTTTTTCTATTTTTAGTAGAGATGGGATCTCGCTCTTGCTCAGGCTGGTCTGGAACTTGTGAGCTGAAGCATCCGCCTGCCTTGGCCTTCTCATTCAGAATTTAAAGTGGAAGAATGATTAGTGGCAGAGCTGTGACTCAAACAGGACTTGACCTTGGCTACTGCTCTGTTTTCACAGAGCATATCATTCTGCATCTTGGCTGAAGAGAATCTGACCAAACACATATTTCCCTTCCATGCTGAGTGATCTGCACAGTGGAGAGGTTTGACAAACGCTGACAGTAAATTTTGTTCTTATTTTTGGTGTAAGGATAAGCCAATTCAGCCGTCAGTCTAATGGAACTGTATAAATGTGAAGTGGCAC